CGTTGTGAGGTCGGATCCGATTCGGATCCGACTAAGATCAGTATATAAGGAGACACTCCCTGTAGCTAGCTCTGTAGACTTCTGATATCCTTTCGTACAAGGCCTATAGGTGTCTATTCGAATCAAGGCTCGTTTGATGTCCCACGCACTCCCATATGCCTCTGAGTGACACTACCGCCGATACTGATCCAAGTAGTCTTGCCTGCGCTGTTACAGTGAGGTAATAGAAGTAGACTACGTATAGTCCGCATTAGCTACATGTGTGTTACAAGAAACAAGAAGGATTCTTTCCTTGATAGGTGACGAGATGGCTAAAGGCTTATGGACGTCCAAGTTAGAAGGTAATGATTATCGCGGGGCGCTCATCACGTGATTGGCATCACGCCAAGACCATGGTGTCACATAGGCAGGAGGGAGTCAGTGACTCTAGGTTAAGGTCCTGATGCCAGAGCTGGAAGCAATAAGGATATAAGGATGGATGGATTTTATTATTCACTCTCGTTGTGGTCAACTCAAATTGTACTTTCTTACTAGTTACTTTACTTAACAAGATTGCTACCTATTAATCTATCGAATAGACTAATAGTTGTCGAACCTGTTGCCTCCCTTCTATCAAGCATACCACTCCACTGCATCGCCAGACAACTTTCACAGAACACTAGCGTGGGACCTGGATAGAGAAGTATAGATCCAAACCCCGTGTAACACTCTACTTATACATTACACTATCTGCACAGCATAGGCTACTATATATAATTATTATAGTATGTTAGGAAGACGTAAGTAACTTAGTATGTGCAAAGTATTATATATTATCTTCTATGTAATACTAAGAGCAAGTTTAAATACAGCGTTATTAGTCAGTGAGCAACTACGTGACTATACATGGTACTTATAGGCTTAAAGGAAAACCTGTTGTTTTGCCTAACAAAGTCTATTAGATAAAGTTAAATAGACACACACAATGGTCTGCTGCATTAGAAATTCTAGATTCCTAACCAAGACACTTATCAATGCAGACCGAATATGCTGCAGTAGCAACCCCAATACATCCAGCGAGTTGAAGGGAAGCTCCAAGAGTTAGAAGGCCTGAGCTTAAAACCTCCTCAGTTAACGCAACACCGCTGCAAACTGAGACAGCGCCAGCCCAGCCAAGCGAACAGGCAGCTGCGCAACGAGTGCACTGTCCCTGATTTCCCGAGTTACATTGAAGTAATTTACGACCATGAGACGCATCACGGGAGGCTCTCGCGTTGTTAACAGCCTGGGAGACCTGAGCGCGAGCAGCAGGACTCTGCGTTCCTGGAATGCGCTTGGAAATCTTCCCAGCTTGTTCGGGAGTCAAAGCAGCCTTAATTCCTTGCTTGGTGCTTTTAAGAAATTGAAGCTTAATCTCATCATCCCAGGTAGAGTAGTTTGTAGTATTGGCCTCTGGGAACCAATGAGTCCAAAGCGCTAGATCGAAGTTGGCGAGGCTATCCACCCTTTCCAGATTTTCAATATCAGCAGGGGTTACTGAAAGCGCGGTAGCGACGGACGCGATATCGGATTGGCTTGGGGCAGCTACTGCAGTGAGGGCAGTGCTGGCAAAGAGAAGAATAGTTGAGATGTACATCTTGGAGATTGATAAAAACGGCAAAGCGCCTTGTAGATGAGAGACAGAAAATAATAGTAGAGAGTAGATGACTGCAGTGTAGATAGATAGAGACAGTAGTAACCCTAGGGACTGGGTTTTATATCTCTGATGGCGGCTGGCTAACGGTTGTAAATGCCTTCTATCTACCGGCTTATTTGACTAGTGATCCACTATAACAGAATCTACTACAAGGATGCTCGTTCTACCTTCTACATAAAGGACTTCTATCTTAGTCTAATTACGTTGTGTCGGCGATTCTTTGAATTAATTAATCTAGAATTACTTAGCAGCATATTCACGGTGAAGGACGGTAAGGATAGGCTCGCAAACGGGTAGGACCCACATTTTTTTCAAAAATTCATAATTAATTCCACGCTAGTCTGAATCGCGCAAGTAGTGGCTCATTTTACTCCGCTGGCCTAGCGCGCAGCTACTCACGCCGCCCATGTGGCCAAGAGGTTTGCACAAGATAACAAGCTTATCTTATTATCTTGATAGCTGGATATATATACTCGATATTGGCGCGCGCACGTATCGCAGCGCCGCTCAAAGGGCGTAGCCCATTATGTAAAGGGCTGCGCCCGTGATCTCTACTGAAGAGGATCACGTGATCTTCGACCACGTGATATACCTTCTGTACGGACACGTGATCAGAAGCGAGCAGGTATAAGAGAAGTCTGTACTTAGTTATCTTCTCTTTTTCTTATCTTTTAGCTTCTGTACGATAGGTAGAAGCATACTCGTTCGCTAGGCCTCTCCGCCCATAACATAAGCTAAAAGATCACTTTAACCCTTCTTACTCTTTTCTCTCGTACGGAGCGAGAGAGAATTGAGAATGCAAAACGAACAAGATATAACGATGGGGCTACATGAGCCTATGCCAAACCCAGAACCTAGTAACGCCCCGCCAAGGCCTCCGACGTACGAGGAGCTCGCAGAAAGCTGGAGCCAACTTAATGCAACGAATAATCTACTCCGACGAAACCTAGACCAAATGGCTACAAGACTTAAGGACGCTGAAGGCGTACGAGAAGAACTCCAAGAGATGAAAGCCCTTTCCTCCGTACGGCACAGGG